ATTAAGTATTGTTTTATAGTCAATTTTTGTTTTAATAATTCATTTTCAAATGATAATATAGCTAATTCATTCAATCTCTCTTGAGAGTTGAGACATTGTTGATCTTAAAGAAGATTCAATCAATTTTAATTTCGAAAAAACTTCTTTCGGATGAGACAACGGTTACAGGAACTGTTAACATTATTCTATAAGAGATATGTGTATTTGAAAAAGAATCAACTCTTTTTATTTGATTGAGTATTTTCATTAGATCATTATCTTCTACTTGTATTATTTCTCTTAACATTTTTAATTCAAAAAATAAATCTAAATCATCAATATCATAATAACTATTACGTGTTAAAGAAAGTTCAAAGCTAACACAATATTTTTTAAATTTCTCATCATCTAGAAATCTCAATATTTTACCACTAAATAAGAAATCAAGAACATTTTCATATGCTTCAATTGGTTCAAATCTATTTTGAAATGAAAAAATAGTCTGATCTTCTCTACATATATAAAGTAATCAACTGTAAAAGTTTCTTCAAGGGACTTTGTGATTTCATTATCCATATTTTTATCAAATTGTTTTTTTACGAAATTCAGGTTTATATTCATCTCATATGCAATTTCCTTAATAGAAATCATAGCATTCATAGTACATATAATTTTTTTAAAAAAATAACATACATAAGTAATTGTTTTTTAAAAATGGGGGCCCCCAAAAAATATGAGGCCTCAAACGATGACTTTAGTGGCCTAAGGGTTAAGACGACCCTGACAACAACTTGCAAACTTTAAAATACAATTTTTACACACCTCAACATATAATTATAATACATTTTTCGAGCTTGGCTGTCGAGTTCCTTTGTGAATTTGTTTATGATTAGGAGGCGGCTATTGGTATACTATAGGTTTAGGTTTTAAATTGTAAAAACTTTGCTCTATATTAGTTGTTTATTTTTATTAAATAATTTACCTCTTATTATTTTCTTTTTAAAAATAATTTTACAACTTGTTTACACTTTTATTTTTAAAACAATAATTGTAAGGTTAAAATGAGAAAAAAAAATTAATTCTCTTTTGATTTTATAAATTGACAAAAAAAATTGAGAAAATTATTTTTATAATATGATCATCTAATATTGAATGAATGACCAACATAGACTGTGGTGCAGTGCTAGGACTGGTCCATCATTAATCAGAGATCTCGAGCTTAAGCCCTGAGTATGGAGAAAGTCATGTTGGAAGTGCTACTCCCAATAGATTTTGTAGTGCGCGATCCAGATTTAATCCCAAATTTTCCATTCTTATCATCAACTCTAGTTGCAGTTGCACTGTTGCAGGCCAATAATGGATATATTTTAATGTGCCGACGGGACCATTAGAGACTAGCCATAACTAAAACGTGTTAATGAAATAGGATGATTAGTTGAACATATAATATATAGTAGTAGTAGGGTTAATGTACGACATCTCCTAAAATTTGGAGTAAATTTAATTTAGACTTGTTATAATTGAACATATATATGAACAAGTGATAAAGTGTTAAATCCTATGATATACTTTCAGTTCAAATTTAGAGAAATTTATGTATATTTCCAATTAGAGTTTATTACGTAGATAAGTTTTTAATAAGCCTCAATAAAACTTCAAATCTGTTTAATTTGTTCCACTAGAGACTCATGAATATAACTAAAAGGAGGTGACATATTTCATCCGATTAATTTAAAATACGGCGATGGAAAATGTTATAATAATCTGGCGCAAAAACTAGGGCTAGGCGTTTGGTCTTGTTCGGTTTATCGATTTCCGATTTGGTAAAAATGTTAACCGAAACCGAACTAAAATAAATTCGATTTATTTCGATTCGTTTTTTCGATTTGAATATAATCGGACCCTTTTCTTATCATCATTCATCAGTAAACTTTTATAATACTAGGCATTTGCATTTGGTCTAATTGATATGAGCGACTGTTAGCTTAGGAATATCCCTCTAGTCATGATACATATGAGCTTCATTAGAAATAACGTGTTTAGCTAATGCATCTGCAACTTGATTAACTTCTCTATGACAATGATTTACTTCATAATTCATCTTCGCAACAACTTGTAAGATGTCTTCCACAACACCTTTGATCTTCAAGTTGGAGGCTTGTCCATTCCTTACCATATCAACTGGGGTGTACATGATCGGGTTGGTTCGGGTTTTTCAAATATCAAACCAAATCATTTGTGTAAAAATTTTAAATTTAGAAACCAATCCAAACTAATAAAATTTGGATTTTTTCGGGTTTTTCAACCTCGGGTTGGTTCGGATTTTTCAAATACCAAACCAAACCATTGTGTCGAATTTTTAAATTTATAAATCAAACAAAACTAATAAACCTCAGATTTTTTCAGATTTTTGGATTTTTTCGGTAAAGTTTGCATACAAACATATAATTAACTTGTGCTCCAAATATTTCTTTAGTCCAACCAAAATACAATCATCTAAGGTGTTTCTTAAAAAAATAACACAAAATATGAGATGAGTACTGATGACACAAAAATATTCAATAAAAAATAATAATGAAATCATCATATAAAATAAATATTGCAAAGTCATAATGAAAATGATCATAATTTAAAAGTACTAAATCATGCTAAAATAAGTTTAATAAGTATTAGTTACATTCCTAAATATTTAAGGAAAATTAAAATTAGATTATGTATTTTAATTGCCTAAACCAATGTAAAATTAAAGAACAAATATTCAATATTATTGTCATTCTTAGTGTTGAATTGATTTTCTTTTTGCATTAGTATTAATTTGATTTGATTTAAGTTTTATTATAACTATATCAACATCTATGAACTACAATCTTTATTGGACCATTCCGAATTCTAAGTTTTAAAGTTGAAATTATATATTAAAAGATAAAAACTATGAAATAGTATAAGAAATATTTTAAAATTATATCAAAGTAAATATTTTTATGTATAAAATAAAATTTTAAAAATTACATATATAATGTCGGGTTGGTTTGGTCTCGGGTTGGTTTTTTTTAGTTAAAACCAAACCAACCCAAATATAGTCGGGTTTTTTTATCCAATACCAAACCAAGTCAAACCAAACCACTAGTCGAATTTTTTTTTGTCGATTTGACTCGATTTGCGGTTTGATTCGGTTTTTGATTCGATTTTGTACACCCCTATTATCAACCACCATTCTTTAGTCTAATTCAAGATAGCAATCGTGAAATCCTTGTTGTGGATGATGATATCTAAATACAGATACCCTTAATTACATCAAGCACATTGCCATAAAATAAACATAAAGTAAGTATTGTACACCAAATAAAAATATATTCAACGCAAGTTGAATTCAAAATGGCTTATTTTGGCTTGACACGGAGTTTAAAAAAATATTTGAATCATGTGATTTAATAAAAAGATATGTCGAATCATGAATGTATCAAAATGACCTTTTAATTTTGTGATCTTAAAATGTCATGTAGAACATTGACATTAAAGAATTGCTAAAAAGGAAAAGGGTCATGGTTATTTTAAATGAATTAAAAAAGAAAATAGCTCAAATAAATTGAAGCATAGAGAATATAAAATTTTGACGGGATTGTTGTAATTTGTTGTGTAAAAATTTAACCAATACGTTTTTTGTTTCCAAGTTGGTTCAAATCAACTTCGAATTGCTCCAAAATTTGATATGCAACCTTCTCATATAAATCACGACAACTCTTCAATTATTAGATTCAATCTAAATCTTCAAAAATACATAAATCTCTTCAATATTCAACAAAAATTGTTAGAGTTGTGTTATCAATATTATAATTCATTACTATTTAGTATCTAAACTTTTAGCTCGTCTGATCATCATCACAACATACTTACGCTTTCTCAAACATTGTTCTAAGTATGTTGATTGTATAACCACAAGTCTTCCTCATACATCTCTAATCGCCACACCCAATTTATGTGGACTCTTATATGATCATATGACTTGTTTAAATTTATTTAATTGGATAAATTTCAAATATATAATTTATTATTAATTAATTGTTGTCTTTTTTAAATTCTACTAGTTTTGGTCTATATATAAGTGTCAGATTCTAGTAGGTGAAGTATCTACAATGCTTTAACATAGATATAAACCCGAATATACCTTACAAATGTCAGAGTGTAAATCTCATATGTCATACATACCCACACACATATATATGTATAGGGTCTATATATTTTGATAACCAATAAATATTTAGATATACAAATTTTACAACGGTAAAAAAAGTTCAAATTGCTACTTTTTTTAATGGTAACATCTATATTTTTGACAATTCTTTAAGGATTCGTTTGGTAGAGTGTATATATGCAAATAATGCTTGTATTAGTTATACTTAAATTATTTCTTAAGCATTGTTTGATTTGGTGCATTACAAATACCATAAATTTTCATATTTAATAGTTTTCATATATTAATAATACACAGCTTAATAGACAGTGTACAAAATGTATGTCATCTTTTGATTGATCTATATTAGATCATGAGTAATTACGATAATAGATGACAATAAATTGACCAAAATGCTGGCAGCCAAAAAAAAAACAGTAGCTTGATTACAAAAACAAATTCAATCAACAAATTCAACCAAGCTTAATTAAGATTTCTTGTTGTTCACACATGTGGTTCTCTTGTGTACGGTTCTCTTGCAAATTGAACATTTGTTCCTTCTCTTACTTTTGAAATTCTCACCGACACTTTTGACACGTTTTCTTCTTTTTCTTCCAAGCTTGGTATCAACAAGAGGATGAAGAATCTTCACATTAAGCAATTCTTCTGGCACACACTATTCCGACTCGAGAAGGACAACATTAATAGAATCCATGTATGCAAGAAGGTATGTTCAACTTTATACAAAGGTGAAGAGTACTCATAGATGCTCATACCATACTCATTGCCATGCTTCGATCGCAAAGTGGCCATCATGTGAGCACAATGTATCCTGATCAAGTCATATTCCCTACATGAACATGACTTTTCCAGTAGGTCCACATAGGCAGTAACACCTGCATCGAACACGATAAAATTGATTGTCGTCCCCGGTTACATTTTCCACATATAAGGAGTCGCCCTCGATCATTTTTTTCCTTGCAATTTTTGCGACAGCCGGGACCATTTGATTACCCATTGATTTGAGGATATATGCATGCCTCTCCCTATACAATTCTCCAAACCTCTTAGCAATCAAATTAAATATAGATGCCACGATATACTCTCTCTCGTCTATCAACATATCATTAAGTGACTCGGCGATATTTGTGGTCATCACATCATATTTATTGCCAGGAAAATGTGCCCTGCTCCACTTCTCAAAACCAATATCATGCTCAAGGACAACAACTGCAGTGGGGCATTTGTTCTTGAATTCTACAAAATGATTGTCAAACTCCTCCAAAGAATAAACATTTGTTGCATTGTAGTAAAGATAAAGGTAATCTCTACAATGATGATTTACACAAAGATTTTCACCGAGGTGTCTCATACAATATCCAAGGTAAGCATGATTGTAAACGTTCACAATATCGTTGGCGATACTGTTGTATCTATCGGAGATAAAGCACAAATCTAATTCATCGACCACAATCTCCTTCAATTTCTCAAAGAAGAATGTCCAAGATGCATCATTCTCTTTGTCCACGACACAGAAGGCAATTGGATAAACATGATTCTCCGTATCTTGTGCAACAACACTCAATAACACCCCCTCGTATTTACCATGTAAATGAGTGCCATCAACCGCAATTACCTTTGGGCAAATCCCTTAATGCAAGCACCAAAGGCTAAGAAATAATACATGAACCTATGACTATCCTTGTTTACCATGAGACAATAGCTAGAACCAACATTAAGTGTCTCAAACATGTAGAAAAAAGCCGGTAAGCATGAATATTCGTTCTCCGCTGTCCCTCGAACCATTTTCTTGGCAACCATACCACACTTCCAACATTTCCAATAGCTTGGACTACAATGAAAAGAATTAAGCATAGCTCTTTGAGTCTCTTTAACATTTGGACCCTTGCCATCACGATACATATTTACACAAAGTGAAGCAATGACTTTGATTGAAATATTTCTATGGCTATTGTTGGCATGTTTAACGCCACAACTATGTTCGCCAATGTACTTATAGATGCGAAATCTATCCAAACACTCATATTTCCTCGCCCGCAACATCCATGCATAGTTGTGAGATACACATTTAACCTTTAAGTATTTAGTACAACTCTTCATAGTAGCAAAATCAAAACACTTTTTTGCCGCCGCTTCAGCTAATAACAATTGCAACTCATTCTTGTTACTGAAAGTTTGGTTTATACATAAATTAGTTCCATCGGAGAAGGAATGGTTGGATTGTGATCCCAATTCCTTTTTTCCCAGCATTTCTTCACAACATTCGGGTTCAGAATCTTCTGTATCTACTGGCTGATTTTCCACATTAGTTGGATCATTATGTATATTTATTGAATGATCACCCAAACTCTCATTTGAATTATCACCCAAGCTCTCCTTTGAATGATCACCCAATCTTTCATTTCTAATCGAATTATTGTCGCCGTTAAATGAATTTGTTGGTTCAGTTGGAGGCCTCGCATTGACGTTTATCCTCAATGTAGGCCTAGAGCCATCAATACCAATATCTAACATGTACAAGCTCACGTCCCTATCATTTTTTATGAATGTGGGATGTATTTTTCCCCTCCCATTCATTTGATAGCTAATCACCAAGTCATTTGGTTCGCAAGTTAACTCACCGGCCTCAATTACGCTTGCAATCATATTGTCACATTAACCATTGCGACATAACACAATGGGCACTGTCGTCTTACTAAAATATTTCCAATTTCAGCTTTTGGGAGTCTCCTCCCATACTCTCATATAATCACCACCAGCAACAATAAATTCAGCTACTGCCATTATAGTCTACAAAGATAGATACTAGATTATAGTAGCAGTCATTATCGATCGATGAAGTACGACATTCGTACAAAAACGCGACTGAATGAGATCATGGTTCAAAATGCAGCTCTTGCAATGGCGAAACAGATTTTTAATGCTTTTAAACTACTAAAATGTATCTATAATGAGTTATCAAGTGTTTATTGTGGAAGATTTCTCAGATTTCTAAAATGGCGGGAAACTAATTTTGAAGCTTGACTTTTGAAAGAAAATGGAGTAGGAGATGATGATGATTTTACCTTGGAAATGGATATTACGGCCGAAAAACTCGTCGGAATCGACAGCAGCAAAAATCGAGCTGCTCTTGTTTCCGTTTGGAGACTTTTTTTTTTCTAATATAAATTTTAACAATTGCAAATAAATATATTATTCCAAATTAGTTGGAAAAGAAGGGAGGGACCAAAGTGGAGATATAAAAACTTAGGGAGGTCTTTTGTATGTGCCAATTAAGGCACATGGATGATGTCATTAATAGTGGGTATACCACAAATTATTTAAGACTTTTGTCTTAATGTTCAATTAAATTTGGAGAGTGACTATTTTGCCAACTCTCCTCAGTAACTTGTATACATTTTTCATACCTCGTATCACCAAGTCAGTTTTCATAATCTTGAAGATGTCGTTTTCATTTCCTACGTTACCACCAGCTACCACCAACTCTTCATCATTAACTTTCCAAACAGTTTCGTTAACACACAACCTTGTTGTTTTAACAAAGAACTTGATATAAACAACAGTCGTAACACACACCACATCACCATCATCCAACTTACGAATGAATGAAGTGATATATGATGTGATCTCCTTCTATTAATTGTGTAATTAACAAGGAACTATATCGAGACCTTAGCAATAGAAACAAAAGTATATATCACAAACTGAAATACAAAATCCATATAATCATGTACGTAAGTACGTAATCCTTTCCTTTTTGTTTGCAAGTTAAATCTATCGAGTATGATAATTAAAGGATATTTCTAGAATTCTTTCATACAAGGAAGATGTTGAAAAAAATAAATAATATAATACTCACTCTTATCCCTAAATCAACACATGTTGATCATGTAAGGGATTTTAGACCAAGTGCATGTTGGAACACAATATATAAAGTGGTATAAAAAATGTTGGGTCACTGATTGAAAAGAGTGCTACCAAGTATGCGTTTATAACGGGAAGGACAATTGCGCAGAATATCTTGATATGTCAAGACCTAGTAAAGTTATAATAAGAAGAACACTACCAAAAGTTGCTTGATAAATGTGGGCTTAAGGAAATAGTATGATTCTGTAGAGTGGGAGTTTGTGGAAGAGATGTTGTATGGACTAAATTTTCCAGGCAATTTTATCAAATGGACAATGGAATGTGTATCCACTACACAATATTCCATCGCCATTAATGTAGGAATACACGGGAGTATAATTGGGAGGAGGGGGTTGAGACAAGGACATCATATCTCACCATTGTTGTTTGCGATCTGCATAGAGTACTTCACAAGGATTATGAGAAGGGTGACTGAATTAGAAGGTTTTGAATTTCATACAAAGTGCAAAAGAATCAGGCACAACTATTTGTGTTTTGCTGATGACATGTTGATGTTTAGTAAAGGTACTTTCAATTCAATAATGCCAGTGCTAAGAGGATTGAAGGCTTTCTCATTGTCATTTGGATTAAATACGAATGAAGCAAAATCAAATATATTTTCAGCGAATATGGATAATAAGGAAGTAGAAGATCTTTGTGAGCTGACTGAGTATGAAAAAAAGAAGATGTCATTTAGGTACTTAGGGATTCCAATATCCTCCAAGAAAATATCAAAAAAAATTGTGAAGTGCTAATTGAAAAGATGTCTATTAGGGATCCAAACACCTATCCAATGCTGGAAGGGTGCAACTGGTGAACTCTATTCTTTTACATATAAATTCCTATTGGGCCACAACTTTCTTACTACCGGGTAAGTGCTGAAGTAGATAACAAATATCTGTAGGAACTTCCTATAGAGTGGTCAGGAGCACACAAGCAAAGCTCCACTGATAACATGGGACCTAGTATGCAGACCAAGGAAGGAGGAGGCTTGGGTATCATTGAATGTATGACATGAAAGAAGCTGTTGTAGCAAAGTATGTATGGAATATTGCAAGAAAAACAGACAATTTATAGGTTAAATGGATCAATTACATCCACCTCAAGGGGAAGGGATTAGTATTAATATAGGCCTCCAACTGTTAGTTGTTGGTACTGGAAAAGAGTGTGCTCACTGAAGGAGAAGTTTGCTCCGGGATATGTGCAAAATGGATTGCTAACAATAGCTGGAAAATATACAATTTAAAGTGGGTAACAATGAAAAAAGGGAGCAGGTGAACACTGGCCTAGCTGGAGAGGGGTATGGAATAATGCAAATGTACCAAAACATAGTTTTATTTGTTGGGTCATGATGCAGAATAAACTGCTCACACGAACACACCTTGCTGCTTTTGGTGTGTGTGAAAAGAGACGTGTATCCTATGCGCAAACACACCAGAAATGAGAGAGCACCTGTTCTTCAATATGATTACTCGCAATCGTGCCTACGGGATGTACTTCAATGGATGCACCTCACAGTACATATTGAAGAAATACAGGAGATGCGGAAGAGGTGTGCGCGAAAGGCCTGAGGCAAGATAAGTAGAGAATTTATATGGTCAGTATTGACAGCAACAGTATACCATATTTGGATGGCTCGCAATGAGGCACTCTGTCAAAAAAGTGTCCCTATCCCAAAAAAAGTACTAAAGTTGATAAGAATGGATACTAAATACAGAATCATGGAAATACTGCATTGGAAACATACTTGTAAAGATAAAGGGTGATTGAAGATATACTACAAAGAGATAATGTATAGGCACAAGCTAGTGGAAAACATGGATAGATGGGGTAGTTTTAATCTATCATAAAGTTTGTAATACACTCTATGAATATATATGTTGATGATTTTTTCTTAGTTACACTCATTCAACTGGGAGTTATTTATTCTATCAAAAGAGTGCATATGGGCAAGCCCACGTACAAAAAGGCCTTTTGGCAGCCAACAGAAAAGGCATCAGCTTACAAAAAAAATTGGTTTATCATACCTAATTCAAATACTAGGCATTTGCATTTTGTCTAATTGATATGAACCGACTGTTAACTTAGGGATATCCCTCCAATCATGAAACATATGAGCTTCATTATAAATAACGTGTTTAGCTAATGTATCTGCAACTTGATTAGTTTCTCTATGCCAATGATTTACTTCATAATTCATCTTAGCAACAACTTGTAAGATGTCCTCCACAACACCTTTGATCTTCAAGTTGGAGGCGTGTCCATTCCTTACCATATCAACCACCATTCTTTAGTCTAATTCAAGATAGCAATTGTGAAATCCTTGTTGTGATCGATGATGATATCTAAATACAGATACCCTTAATTACATCAAGCACGTTACCATAAAATAAGCATAAAGCAAGTATTGTACACCAAATAAAAATATATTCAACGCAAGTTGTATTCGTATTGACTTATTTTGACTTGACACGGAGTTTTAAAAAATATTTGAATCATGTGATCTAGAAAAAAGATATGTTGAATGTATCAAAAAGACCCTTTAATCTTGTGGTCTTAAAATGTCATGTGGAAAGTTGAAATTAAAGAATTGCTAAAAAATGAAAGGGTTTTTTAAATAAACTAAAAAAAGCAAATAAGTCAAATAAATTAAAACAGAGAGAAATAAAATTTTGACGGATTGTTATTATTCGTTGCGTAAAAATTTAACCAATACGTTTTTTGTTTCCAAGTTGGTCCAAATCAACTTCGAATTGTTCCAAATTTGATATGCAACCTTCTCATATAAATCACAACAAACTCTTCAATTATAAGATTCAATTCAATGTAAAATCTTCAAAAATACATAAATATAATGTCTTCAATATTCAACAAAAGAATTGTTAGAGTTATGTTATCAATATTATAATTCATTACTACTATTTAGTATCTAAACTCCTAGCTCGTCTCATCCCATTATTACTTTGGGCAGATCATTTAATTTCCTACTCGATCATCTAAACTCCTAGGTTTTTTTCCCTTATATATATGATGATGCGATCTCCTTTTGTATTACTATTAATTGTGTAACAAGTAACGATATCGAGACCTTGATTAACAACAAATACAAAAGTAACCCTAACTTAAAAAGAAACCACAAACTAAAGAAATTTATGTATTTTTGAATGAAGAAGGTAAGGTAAGGTAATAGGCTAATTGCTAGCTTGTTTATTTATTGATAAGCATACATTAAATTACATGGAGCGATAGAAGGATATATCCCCACTTTATTTAGAAAGCTGCAAGCTAGCCAGCTAATTAGCATTCTACGCCTTGATGAACACAAATGGAATAAAGTCCTTATCGTCATGGACAGTCACCAGACGTGGATATCCATTTTTAAAGTTGCTGCCGATATTTTTGCACTGAAGATGAGAGGGACAATGAAGTAACTTGTATACATTTTTCATACCTCGTATCACCAAATCAGTTTTCTTGATCTTGAAGATGTCGTTTTCATTTCCTACGTTACCACCAGTTACCACCAACTGTTCATGATTAACTTTCCAAACAGTTTCGTCAACACACAATCTTGATGTTTTAACAAAGAACTTGATATAAACACCAGT